AACTGGGGCTGGAGTTGAGGTCTGTTGAAGGCTAGGACTGTGTGATCTTCACATGATGAGAAAGGACAGAGGTCTAGCAATCTCTGTCCTGCAACAGCTGATTCTGAAGTGACAAGAACTATAGCAGCTTGGGTAGAGAATCTGGTACGAGTGTATGCCAGTAGAATATGGAGGAGCTGGATTCAGAATCAGGTGTTGTTCAGATGGTCTTGCATTGGGGTATCTGAGTTAGACAGAGTGCGCTAGGGTTAACAGGGCTTGGTGGAGAAGTTTAGCCTAGGAAGAAAAGAGAAGAATGCGATGAGAAGAAAAATTAAGCAGATAAATTTGATTCAGTGTCACATCTTGATGGTGGCATGGTGACATGCTGCTTAACCAGGTCTGAAGCCCTGATGAGCAAGCTGAGGGTGACAGTGGCAAGGAAAATCTTCCAGTGAGGAAAAAAATATTGAGAGGAACCAGGACTCGACAGGGGAACCCATCCTCCTCTGGTCGACACCAGATTGTGTAGATTGTGTTAAACTTGGCAGGCAAAGGGGCTGGATGAGAGTAAAGCAGACTGTATTCTCCCGAACGGAATAAAATGGAGCAGGAATGGCTGTTAGAGGGCAGTTGCTGAGTTGATGGGTGTCATGACTGAGGCAGTTGGAAGATGCTCTAGTCACTTGACATGGAGTATCCTGTTGGCAACAGCATGGTCGTTCAGTTATAACATTGGATGAAAATCACTTGCTTCAAATTTAAGGCCCCAAAAGGCCAGCGATGGCAAAAGGACATGGCTCCCAGGGACAGAGGGCTGAATGGGATGAAGAATGGTCAAAATGGCTAGGAGAGCAGCAGATTACCGTGGCACAGGCAGCATCGTCACAAACGAACCAATGTTAGTCCAGTCTGGGGGAGTCGAGATAGAGCTGATCCAATGAGCACTGTATTGGGCCCATAATCGATACCTGCATTGGTATCGATATATCCCTATTAGGAACCCATTCATTTTGGATTTGCTTTTCAATGTTTTAATTTTACAGCACAGCTTAACTTTCGGCACACTGAAGCTGTATGGAAAACGCTGAGAATGGTATGTTGTAGTCTAAGGAAACCCCCAGCAAAGACAGTGGACAATTCTCTACCATAGTCTAACTCTTTGTTGATGTCCCTTAATATTTCATTGTTTTAACAGTAGACGTAAATAAAGCATTATGTAAAAATGTTATTCAAATGAGTCCTTTCTAGTTCTCTGTCTGTTCTCTTACTCAACACAGTTATTATCACCTGTGGAACATTGTCATCATCTTCCTTTCCATTGTGGCTCAGGGTCCACTGGCAGCCAGGATCCACTGACTATCACAAATTTTATTGTTACAACATAACCATAATAGGAAACTGCACATTAATAAATTTCATTTTCAAGAGGAATAGATTTCCAGTGTTGCTAAAAAGTGCATGTTAAAGCCTGTCATGATTTTCTTTTAACTATTATCTGTATTTTCCATGATGTTTTTACTATAAACTGGCAGAGAGAGAATGCTGTTTATATTTTCTATGGTGAAATTATTTCATTTCACCTCCTTCAAATCAAATGTCTTTAGAAGTCTAATGAATTCTAATGCATTACTGCCTGATGGACTATCACTATGTAAGTTAAAGTCCCCAGAAAGAAGAATTTTATCATAGCTTGTGGATACGATTGACATTAATTTCTCTTGGGAGGTCTATATATCACAATTAGTAACATTAAAGTATCACTAAAAATGTTGATTGCAACATACTTAAGACATACATTCACCAATAGTGGGATTTTTCCACTTAGTCACTATTATAAATACATGCCACTCCTCCTCCTCGCCTGCCCAGTCTTACTGTATGCATAAAGCTGTAGCTTTTAAGAGCAGCTTCAAGTAGAGTTTGTGCCATTTTCACTTTGCCACGTTTCTGACAGAAACAAATTCAAGCTTATGCTTTCTGATAAGATCTCAAATCAGAAGCGTTTTGTCATTTAGTGACCTTTACATTGAGTAAACCAATCACAGACAGTATGTCATAGACAATACCTCCATTGTGTTTACTACTTACCCATCTGTTGTTTATTGCCATTATGTCCAGTAAGGCCTGGTGTAGTACCTTCTCTAATGATAGACCCACGGCGGATTGGGTGTAATCCTTCCCTGCAGTAAAAGGCCGGTCACTCCCAGAAAGCACTCCAGTTGCTCACATAGCCAATGCCATGTTCTCGCACCAACCTTGGAGCCAATATTGAACTGCGTAGAGCCTGCTGAACACCTTGCATCCACTCCGGTAGGTGGACAGAGGTCCCGAGATGATGATCCTGGCCTCGGTTCTCTTCTTAACGGTGTGTAGAAGTAATCCAAAATGCTCCTTGTGTCATTCATTCCCACTTGAACGACCACGGTGCCAATGTCCTCGTATTTGCTCAGAGCAGTGGGAAACTGCCTGGAAATATTCAAGACCCAGGCACCTGGAAAACGAGATAGCAGCATTACCTCTAGAGCCAGCTGCTTTCAGATGTCTGACGATGGAACGTCCGATTAATAGAACACTGTCCTGAGTCGTTGTCCAAGGCGCTAAAGCAGGTGGACAGCTGAGGGCTTTGAACTGGTTACTGGAGGTGAAGTCCGCCAAAGGAGAATTTGGTGAAGACCTTCTCTTTCCCTGGCCACGCTGGCTTTCCCAGACTTGCTCTGGTGTGGTCATGAAGTTGGGGAATCCTGGTGTTAGCTGTGAATGTAGCGATTCGTCTGGACAAGTGATAGTTGCCACCAGATGTGAAACCGCCGTATACAGGGCTTCCCAGGCTGCTTCAAAATGCATTTTCCACTTGTGGGGCTCGGTCTCCCACCCCAGGCAAGTCCTGATTTGCCGATCCAGCTGCTGCAGTTCTCTGGTCAACATCCGGAGCATGTGTTTAGTGGCTGCCGCCATTTTCTCAGCATCCACTGAGAAAAGTAAAGGTTAGTTCAAAACTAGAAAAAACTAAAAATAAATGTATAAAGGGGTGCAGCTATTAATGAATAAAGGTAATATTTATATATTCAGTTGTGATAAAAATTAGTAGATAGTGATTCTCAGCTTATCAGTCTTTAACTGATAAGTGTCTGTGCTTTATAAATTTATCACCTCAATATCAATAGATTTTACCAGCCAACCAGTTTAGCAGCTGGGCCCTAGTTTTTATGATTCAAACTATATTAGTCTCATAGCTCCAGCACAAAACTAAACAAGCACAGTTCGGACAAAAAACATGTCTAGGCTGACTGTAACTCCATATTAATGCCCATGGTTTCAGATTGCGATGTCCAATAAGCTCATAGATGCATGCTGGTCAGGTGTCCACATACTTTGGAAATATAGTGTATGACCATCCAAACTGAATACAAACCTTTTTCAAATATACTTAGATCCAAAATGCCACCAGATGATCAGTTTTCACTGCAGCAGAAGAGCTAAACTCAAAAATGTAATAAACATGTGATCGAAGATAACAAGATCAAAACCTTTTCAGGTAGATTATAGGATGTGTGTACAGGGTTATAAACATGCGATGCTTGTTCCGTATACCTGACCCAGACTGCCCCACAAGCCTCATTCAACTGTCAACACAAACATCAGCAGCACCCAGCTGTTGTTTGACTTATGATATAGAGAGATATTTGAATTAGCACTCACGCAGCTAGACAGATGATGCGAGAATTAGCCAGTACGTTAAAAACTTGCGGATGTGGTTACTGTTAAATACGTGATGTCGTTAAGCATTAATGCCAAGCCAAATAATATTGATATATATTGAATGAAAATGTATATATATATATTGAATGAATATTGATATATGTTGAATGAAAATTTATATATATTGAATGAACATTGATATATATGGAATGAACGTTGATATATATTGAATGAACATTGATATGTATGGAATGAACTTTGATATACATGGAATGAAAAATTATATGTATTGAATGAACATTGATGTACATGGATCGAACATTGAGATGAAAAAATTGATAATACATTGTGTGTTGTAGCCTTGAATCAAAGTTCATTATATATATATATATATATTATTACATTAACTAGTGCTGTCATTGTCATCCTGTGGATGGGCCGAGCCACAATGGCTTTCCTTAGCGTCCCAGACAGTGTGGCTCGGCCCCTTTCCAGACTGATGCCACTCTACACACACACACACACACACACACACACACACATGCACTGATCACCCATAACATTAAAACCACCTCCTTGTTTCTACACTCACTGTTTCATCAGCTCCACTGACCATAGAGTTTCACTCTAGTAGTTCTACAGTTATAGACTGTAGTCCATCTGTTTCTCTGTATACTCTGTTACCCTGTTCTTCCATGGTCAGGACCCCCATGGACTCCCACAGAGCAAATATTATATGGGTGGTGGGTCATTCTTATCACTGCAGTAACACTGACGTGGTGGTGGTGTGTTAGTGTGTGTTGTGCTGGTCTGAGTGAATCAGACACAGCAGTGCTGCTGGAGTTTTAAACACCTCAGTGTCACTGCTGGACTGAGAATAGTCCACCAACCAAAAACATCCAGCCAACAGCGTCGTGTGGGCAGCGTCCTGTGACCACTGATGAAGGACTAGAGGATGACCAACACAAACTGTGCAGCAGCAGATGAGATATCGTCTCTGACTTTACATCTACAAGGTGGACTGACAAGGTAGGAGTGTCTAATAGAGTGGACAGTGAGTGGACACTTGAGTGTTTAAAAACTCCAGCAGCACTGCTGTGTCTGATCCACTCGTACCAGCACAACACACACTAACACACCACCACCACATCAGTGTTACTGCAGTGCTGGGAATGATCCACCACCCAAATAGTACCTGCTCTGTGAGGGTCCATGGGGGTCCTGACCACTGAGAAACAGGGTAAAAGGGGGCTAACAAAGTATGCAGAGAAACAGATGGACTACAGTCTGTAATTGTAGAACTACAAAGTGCACCTATATAGTAGGTGGAACTGAAAAAAGAAGGAGGAGAAACAAGGAGGTGGTCATAATGTTATGCCTGATCGGGGGAATATATATATTAACGGTTTGATATATGCAGATAAAATATATTTAGTGTTTCTAAGTATTTCAGATGTTCACACTATACCTTTGCTGTGTCTTCTTCTGTGTCTTTCACTGACATGACTTCTTTTTTTTCATTGGGCATCTTCTTCAGTTCCACTGTTGGAATTCCACGTTTACTGTCATTTTTCCTTTTTCTTTTTAATGCTTTTGGTTCAGGGATGTCTTCTGGCACACTGAAGTACTTTGACTTAAAGTCTTTAGGGTCTTTTTCCTGTTTTTTGGCCCATTCCTCTTGTGATTGCTCTAGATTCTTCTGCAAAGCTTTTAGAGGTTTCACAAGCAGTTTTTCTGGGAAGTCCAGTTGTAAAATATGTTCTTTGTATCTTCCCTGCATAGAAGTATGCATCTTTCGAACAAATTCTCCTGGCCTAAGAGACTTCTGTTTTAAGAGGATGTTGTTCTTCACAATGTCAAACCATTTTTCAACGTGGCAGTTTGTGTCTCTTTGTTCAATTTCCTGTTTGAGGTTGCTTACAGTTTGGTCTGATCCATATCTTGCCAGGTCCCCTAGTAAAATCCCACTCCATAATGGGTAAATGCACATGTAGTTTTCAAAAAGCACATCAAGAATCTGAGGGCAGAAGTATGGATTATCTGCTTCCTCTTGAATGCCTGACACCTCTGCAGTTCCTTTTTGAAGCACACTGCGAAAATGTGTAGTAAATGGGGATCTTTTCACAATACTTGTTGCTATTTTATGATCCCTGTCCTCTGGAAGGGGAGCTTTGAAGTCTTCACTGGCCTCTGAAACAGTGACTTCAGAAATCTGGTCTTTGAGAAACTGGATGCTCTTCTGTACTTTTCTGGATTCCATTTTGGTCCCAAATACTGTACACATGTTTCCAAAAGTGCTGTTAGCTGCATCCATGTGGACACAATCCTGCAACCTTGCAAAACAGAAAGTTGCAAATTCTTTCAGCCCAGAATCATTTGTTTGTCTCCCAAAGCTTTGTGCAACTGCTTTCAGGGCATGTGCTGAGCAAAGGTGTAACACAGTGAACATCTTTAGTTCTCTTCTGGTTTTCTATCTTTGTAAAATGTCCATGGCTCTCTCCAAATATGTCATTACATTCTCTTTATTGAATGTCAACAGGGAACTTTGCACTAAAGCCCAGCTGTGGTCTGTTTCAATCTTACTGACTTTTATTGAGGTGAATTTTGACAATTTCAGTTGAAACTGTGACAGCCAGAATGTAATCGGAGGAATTGAATGCTCATTGCTGAGCATCTCTGCAACAGGTAATGGAGGAATGTTCGGTCCCTCACCAGGCAGGGTAAGACTGTAATACAACACTCTTTTCTTCTGTTCTGGTACCTTTGACACCACACCACCTGTGGCATCAAGATACAAATTCACTTGCTTTTTCTGCCGCACGAGGATTCCAAGTCCAGTTTCTGTGTATAAATGCAAAGCAAATGGGTCAATCTGAAGGTGCTGCACATACCCAGGAAAATTGTAGCTTCCGCTGTCACATTCCTTGATTATCTTCTGGGTCAAAATCAGTTCCATGATGACATCATGGTGCAGGCGTTGACTTTTTTCACCTCTGATGAAATGACTTTAAGGATATTCTTAGTCAAGCTCCTGGTGATATTGCCAGCCATTAATTCTTGAGGAGGAGTAGCTGCTAGTTGTCTGTGGTATTCATTACTCACACCTTGACCTATTGTCCTTGCAATTTTTCCCCTTCTGATGTTACTAGCTAGTCTGAATCTCTTCTCTCCTCTGAGATGTCTAATTTGTCCTATTTGGCACACTCGAATTGTTACCTTTTGACCTTTAATTGGTCTCTTCTTCATTTTAAAAATGTATCTTGCTTTACAAGTGGAAAATGTGCACACTGCGTGTACTGTCAAATATGGACATCTTTTTTTCCTACTGCTTAGCTTTCTGACATTTTGATAGCGAAATGAAAGTGTGCAGCTGGGATTTCTCTCTTTGAATCTGTCATAAATTATATTAGACCATGGTCTTCTCAGCTGTGCATGACCTCTACGAGGAGCAATCATTTTCCACTCCCTCCTCGATACTGTAATCTGCAACATTCTGGGGGGATCTGATATTGGTCTCAACCGGTCTGTCCCGATCTGTTCGTCAAGATCATTTGTTTCATTTTCTGAAGTGTACTCAATGCAGCCATCTTCGCCATCTTTGTCAAGTTCAGATTTTATGCAGTCATGTTCCAATTTTCCCTGCTCTACATGCAGTGCATGACTGTCAATTTTGTGTTCCACTGTTTGCTCTTGTTCTTCGGTTACCTCTAAAGACTGACTTTAAATATTTTCATTCTGAAGAAAAGGCACCTGAAACTGACACTTTGTAACTCTGTCTCGAACACTTTGTCTGTTCTGTCTCCACACTGTCCTAAGCCACTTTTTGTTTGCCTCTGAATCTTCTCCAAACAATTGAATAGATATTTTCCCCCAAATGTCTGCATTAAAATCAACTTCTTCTGAAATGTCATACTTCGAGAACTCACTGACAACAGTGTCAACTCCACCTGCCAGACTCCATACATCTTTCCTGACCACTGTCTTCCCTTTCTTTACTCTACCCATTGGCTGTATTATAAATGAAAGCAAAAATACACATGGCATGACACAACGTATGAGCTTGTTTTTGGAAAGATGCTAAAAATATTATTATAACATTTTATGCACTGAATGAGTTAATTATTAGTAAAAAGAGTATTAGCATTTTGGCTACTTTAGCTGCATCTTGGTGCCGTTAAACTGGTGATAAGAGTATGTTGTCACTTAGGATGTTTATAAAGACTCTAAACATCAAGCTACAACAAATATTACCATCTAGAAAATGTATCTTTAGTAAAATTAAACACATTTTAAATCGCACTTACCTCTTTGCGATTTTTTGCACATGTCGACCTTAAGAAACTTTGGAAGTAGAATAGCCCATATTGCAGCGCTCTACCACTAGAGGGAGACTGCTGTCTACTGAAACATTAACATAATCAATCACAGATAAACAGATAAATAAATAGTATGTGAGACAGAAATACATAGGTGAAGTAAATACGGTGAAAGAGATTTATAACAACTACATGTGATTATTAATGCATAGCCTGTAGCTGTAATATGTCGTCTGAAAATAACTGAAATGCTATACATTATTAAACAAGTATACAATACCTAATTAATACTATAAAACCTTTAAAAATATAAACAACATTAAATGAGTAGCAACTGCTGCTGTTTTTGCTTTATAAAAACTTCTACAAATGAGGTGGGATGAATTATTAATAGAATAGTTTGAAATTCACAAAATTATTATAATGGTTAAGTAATTGATTATAGTGGTTACGAAGCTTCTGAAAGTTTTCTAAAGTCGCTGCTGTTAGCTCTGTGTTTTAAACCAAGGGCCAAATAACAGTTAGAATATTTATTGAGGAATCAAAGTGTGCATTAATGGACACTTCTTGTGGTTCACTGTAAAGGTGGTTTTACCTTTGTATCCTGAAGGGTTTTGAAAAGACATAGACAACATTCATTGTTTGTTACCAGATAACAAAAGGTCAGTAAAATGAAAGAAATGAAAGAAGTTTGCAGTCCTCCTTATAACTCAAAGTAAATGACAATTAATCTGAAATCTAGTATATTTGGCCATTTTCCCGTGGCTCATTTCTATATTAACAGCATTTAATATAACCTGTAACTGGTAACACCCTGCAAATAAAGCTATAATGGTTTATTTAAATCAGTATACTTTTACAGGTAAAGTATGCTCAGTACTGTTAGGACAATTATTGGCAAATACATTTTATTTACAGGTTTATTCAAAGTCCTTTTTCTAAATTAAAGTGGTGTGTATTTCTAACCATAATTTAGAGCAAATAACACAATTAATCAGATGTGCATGGACACAGTGTTTATGGAGCTATTGATGTTTTATTGTCTGACGGTGTCTACTGTTAGCACGAACAATTAAAATATGTATTTAAATACACTGAAACGCTTTGGAGGAAAACGCTTTGGAGGAAAACAGAGGCGTGTGCATGGATGTAGGCTTGGTCTAGAAGTGCATGATTTTTCTTCCGACTGTAAAACGTGTCTCAGTTCTATGGTATTAACACAAAATAGCGGTACGTTAAATGTCACCCAAACTGCAGAAGAACAGGTGTGCATCACTCTCTGTGGTCGTACTGTCATGAATATGTAAGTCTTAACTGACTACCGTAGTCCGATCAAATGGTATTAGCGCCGAAAAGACGAATATCGAAAACAAAACTAACTTTACCGTGTTAAAGCGAGCCACATACAGGGCTGCACAGCATCTGCTCAGTGAGTGACCTGCATTCAAATGATTTGTAATGCCGCACATCAACTGGATAAAACCAGCGCGAGGGCTGCGTTCTGCCTTTTCCCGCGAAGATTCAGCGCCAGGTTAGAGTCATATTATATTAAATATGTTTAGTAAGTTAAATAAACCTGTAAACCGAGACATTGATTTAAAACGGGTGTGTTTTATGGTTGTGACTACTGTTTTCACATTAAGGTCGTAGTGGGCGTAACGATACATTAATTAGTGTGCTGATGTTAAATTTGTCTGATTTTCTTTTTAATCTTTTGCTGGTTGTTTGTAAAAGCTGACTTTCGACCATGAATATAAACAGAAGCGCAATATCATTTAGAGCTTTCCACTTTTTCAGGGATTAGAGAGATTTTTTACAGAACATAATCGGAAATCGGATCAAAACAGTCTTCAGTTCTTCTGTTTTAAACGCGGCTGGTTAAAGGTGACTGTGGTAGTGTTCAGTTCACTAGTTAGTGTAATTGCGTTAATAACGTTGTTGTCGGTTCTGTTTAGCGATGTTTGTCGTAGAGATTTCGGTTCATAAATGAATGTCGTTCCCGCTGCGCTGTCGGAGCTGCGCCGCGTGCTGTGTCTGCTCGAGCCGCTCTCTGTCTCCACTGCAGCGCCTTAGCTGTGCTGCTCCGTGGGAAGCGGTGTTTGTAGGTGTTGAGATGTTTGGACTGTCAACCAGTAGCTGCATATAATCTCGGACATACTGCCTGGTGATCTTGTAACAGCCGAGTACAAGTGTTTAATGGTTTTTCGTCCGAGGCGCGTCCAGTGTCGAGTGTGGTAAGTTAGCGCTAATGCTAATCAAGTTAGCCTGTCACCCAGCTAGCTAAAGGTTTTTCAGTAGTAACGGTTCCTCATACCTGCTGTCTGTCTGGCTTCCTCATCATTAAACTCACGTATTTTTTTTGGCATATTACTGAAAAACCGTGATGAAC